CCGGAGCCCGGGTGGTAACCGGAGCCCGGGTGATAGCCGGAGCCCGGGTGGTAGCCGGAGTGTGAGTCATGAAGTCCGGGGATGAAGCCGAGTAGGCGCTGCTGCTGACAAGGAATTCCATTGTGGGTGTTTGAGTGTCAAACATGGGATCGAATGTGGTGATGATTTCTGGAATGCACGAGTTAGCCCAGGTGTCTGTTGGGAGAAGGAGAAGTAAGCATGGCAGACCCCACCAGGGCCTCTCACTGCTGTCAGAACTCAGGTCTCCCCAGATTCAAATCTAATCTCAATTTCTTTCCTTAGCACCCTGCAGCGTCTTCAGTCTTCGGTGACTCAGCCAAGCTGACATCAAGAGGCTAAGAGACTCAAAAGTTCGAGCTCTCTCTCAATGGTCCTGCCATCCCACTAGCCCTCAGTTTTTGCTACAACTTCTTAATCACCCTGGCTTTTTTCAGTGATTCCTTTTCTACCTTTAAAACATCTCTCTGTAGTCAAATGCTCTACCATTGAGCTATAACCTCAGAAATAAGGGAACGGGATGGTTGAGCTGCGGGGGTGGGGAGTGGGGGGTGGGGGTGGGGAGGGGGGTGGGGAGACGACGACACACGACCGGAGTGGGAGAGCAATGAAAGAGATATCTTGATAGAGGGAGACACCATGGGGATAGGGAGAAATCTGGTGCTAGGGAAGTTCCCAGGAATCCACAAGGATGACCCCAGTTTAGACTACTAGCGATAGTTGGAGAGAGTGCCTGAACTGGCCTACCCCTGTAATCAGATTGGTCATCATATAGCTTTCATCCAGTAACTAATGGAAGCAGATACAGAGATCCACAGCCAAGCACCAGGCTGAGCTCCAGGAGTCCAGTCAAAGAGAGGGAAGAGGGATTCTGTGAGCAATGGGCATCAAGATCATGATGGGGAAACCTACAGAGACAACCGAACCAAACTAGTGGGAACTCATGAAATTTTGACCAACACCTGTGGAGCCTCCACGGGACTGAGCTAGGCCCTCTGCATAAACGAGACAGTTGTGTAGCTTGGTCTTTTTAAGGGACCCCTGGCAGTGGGATCAGGATCTATCCCTGGTGCATGAGCTGGCTTTTTGGAGGCCATTACCTATGGTGGGACACTTTGCACAGCCTTGATGCTGGGGGGCGGGGGGTTGGTCATGCCTCAACTGAATGTACCAGGCTTTGCTGACTCCCGATGGGAAGCCTTACCTTTTCGGAGTAGGGGATGGGGTGGTTTGGGGGGCAGAAAGACTGGGGGGCGGTGGGAGGAGGGAAGAGAGGGGGATCTGTGATTGGTATGTAAAATAAATAAGTTTCTTAATAAAGAAAAAAAGCCAAACTTCTGTCTGCTCTTTGCTTAGCCAGTTCTCCCCTAGGCTTCAGACTTCTCTAGACCAGGTGTCTAGACACATACTCTTGCCCTTGCCTGATCTTGTCCCAATTCTCATCACTTTGCCCCCCTCTGGACGGACTGGGAGCTGTCTGGCGGCAGGACACTTGTTTGATTGGATTATTGTGCCTGGTGTACAGTACATGCTCAGTGAACACCTGATAAAGAAGAAATGAGGAAAGGAAAGAAACCAAAGCGAGGAAGGAGTAACTGGGGGTGGGGGGCGGCATGGGGGAGACATAAGATATCACTTTAGAATAAGATCTAAAATAAAACCTCTCAGTGCTGGGGCGGGGGAGTGGAGAGAGAATAGTGCTTTCCAATCTGTTGGATGGAGTTTAGAGGAAACACATCTGTCTGTCTTCTAGTTCCGGGTCAGCGATGGTACCAGATGTCTAGCTATCTCATGTAGCACTTATCCAATCTTCATTTACACAGGAAGGTGCTGAAGTTCATGGACATCAATCACAGTTAGGAATGGCAGGGCTACACAATATCTTACACCACAAATTTACATCTATTTTAAACCCCTGGTTATTTATAGCACGGGATGCCACTGGCCAGAATTACAGCTGTGCAAGAAATTCCTTCAATAAGTTGATTTGCTTTTGAAAATTAAATGGGTCACTAGTCAAGATCATGAATACTGCTGATAAATGTTCAACTCCACATGCATCAAGTCAATGTTTAATCCTATTCATGGTACTTAGAAAACAGCCCTGTTCAAATAAACATCATTGTAGACTCTGTTGCCTCATGTTTCCCATTCTTTAGTCTTTGCTAGGCTCTTCCCTCAGAAAATGAGCATTTTTTTTTTAAGCAAGGGTAGAAAACCCAGAGGGCTCATAGAATGTTGGGCTCTAAAACACACAGACTCATGAAGTCCAGTTCCTGCCTCTGGTCAGCGGAACTTGGGTGGAGTGTGGAGGACTGATGGTGTTCGTTCAACAGATGCTTACGGGGCACCATCTCTGTGCCAGGCAGTGCTCTAGATGCCACTGACAAAGTCCCTGTTCTCAAGGAGCTTCTAATCCATTGGAAGAGTACAGATAACAAAAGATAAGAAAGCCACGAATTTCAGAAGATTATAAACAGCGAAAAGAAACTTAAACGTGGTGTCGTTTAGACTGGTAAGGGTGGAGATGAAGGATGGCTACTTGGCTAGGGTGATGAGGGGATGTCTCCTGGGGAGGCCGTACTTAACCTGAGACCCAGTGTTTAAAAGGACCGGTCACTAGAGATCTAGGGCAGACGCCGGAAGAAAACAAGAAGTACAAGAGCGAGAACTTGACTGTGCTGAGCCCATTCAATGAACAAGATGGCCAGTGTGGCTGAAACAGAGCAGAGCTCATCTGTAGGGCGAGGACAAGAGATCCTGGCCAGCAGGATGTGTGTGATCCGAGAATGGAGACGTGGGAAGGTAGAGTCAGGTCAGGAGAATGACAAGGAGCATAGCGTGGCTCCAGAGAATGGTGAGAGGTCACTGGTGAAGAAATCCTGCAAGCAGGAGGCCAGGCTGGAAAGACAGATCCAGCTGGGATATCAAGATTGCTAGTCACCCTGTTAAAAGGCTTGGCGTTTACTCTGCAGGACAGGCCATTTTCTACTGGGGTCTACAACCCTTTTTAGCCATATTCAAGAGTTTTCATATGCATCTATTTTATATGCAAAAGAAATCACATGCTACATACTAAATTATTTGGAAAGTCACCCAAGGCTGTAGGGCAAACAGAAGAGTAACAGTTACCAAATGGATGAGGTGGGGGAAGGGCCAGGTGCAGGGAGAGGGAGGACATCCAGGAGCAGAGAAGGAGGGTTCTTGCAAACTGCACAGAAATAGGAGAATCTAGAAATGTCTGGTTCCTAAAACTTAGAAAGATTAGGGACAGCACAGAAGTCCACCAATAGAAGATGGGCTGAATAAATTAGTATACAGACAGCCACTGGAGTACATTAAAAACACAGCTATTAAACATTAGAAATGTCTCTATGAGCCAATCCAGTCTAATGTCCAGGCTGTAAGTGGAAAAAGCCATTCACAGAGCTGTGTGTCGAGAGAGGTCACTGGTCACTCTGCAGTCCCCTATATAATAACCATTTTCAGCAAGGACCACAATGATAGTTTGGAGTGAGAATATTTGTATAGTACATATCATATGCTAAATTACCTACTAACTACAAAGGAGAAAACTTACCTTCTCATTTCATTTTCAGTCTGTTAGTCACTGCCTTAATCAAATAATCAGTTAGAGCAATTGGTAATGGGAACGAACTACTGACATTCGGCGCTGTTTACTGTGATGTGATCTCAAGTACACAACACCACCTACAGCAGGAATTGAAGCCTCTTAGCTGTTCACGGTGTAGGAAACAACAGGGGCTGAGAATACAACGTACAGGAAAGCAGGAGGAAACAGACCGTCTGAGTCCCCTTCCTCTCTTCTGTTTGGTGGGAAGGATGGGTACCATAGCACTGTGCTGCCAGCAGGTGGGGAAACAAGGCAGCTAGGAGACAGGGCCAGCTCCCGGGAATAGAGGCCAGCTCCCGGGAATAGAGGCCAGCTCCGGGGAATAGAGGCCAGCTCCCGGGAATAGAGGCCAGCTCCTGGGAATAGAGGCCAGCTCCGGGGAATAGAGGCCAG